AATTGCAACTGATGGCCAGTAACCCCATGAATGCGCACAGAAGTCGGGGATAGAACAGCATTAGGACAGATCGCATTGAGTGCTGATTTCGGTAAGATTGATTCGCTGCTTCCTGTGTTTATGATGAATCGATGCTCCACACCAGACTCGAACCTCAGTGGGGCGAACACGAACTGAACGTTGGGTTCAGTGGTCTGCAGCGTGTAGATTGGGCTTGAGTTCTCATCTGCCGTTGGGATATGGGAGTCGATGAGGTTGCACTTGGGCATTCAGCATACGTCGCGGATATGGCCTATCTTACCGCATGCGTGGCAAGTGGCATTACGGAATCGACAAGTCGAACGAAGATGGTATTCACCACATGAAAAGCAACGGTTGGTAGCAGCCTTCGGTTGTGTTCGGCTTGAACCGGGTACTTGAGGAACCTGGGGTGAATTATGAACATTGGGTGCGTCACGTAAGGGTTTCGTTGATCGCCGATGGAATAACACAGGAGTATCCGCATTTGTGGCAGCACACAAATGGTCACTTTGCTCACAGATTTTTCGAGCTTCAGCAAATATGATATCTTTCTTTTCCAACATCTTACGTTGTAATGAGATGTTGTTGATTCCAGCAATGAGACGGCCACAAAGTTGTTGTTCCAATCGGTCCCCATAGTTGCATTTTGACGCCTGCTTGTTCAACTGGAGAATGAACTCACGGCACTCACGGCAGCTCTGATCATTGAGTTGAATTTGGCCCGTTCAGTGGCCTGAAAATCCACTGGGAGAATGTGGTCAAGTAATAGGGATTTCAACTTCTCGAACGGCAATTCAGCAGGAACATTCGAGAACGATAGATTGTTCACCAGGGAATACAGCTCTCGGCCGCCCAACGTCGAAAATAGGACCGACTGATTTGGCATTCCTCCTTTCCGGATGCTGCACCACAATTCGAAACGTTCTACCCATTCTTCGATTTCCGATGGACTTCCGAGCAGGTTCAGTGGTTCAATGAGAGGAATCTCCATTGTGCGACGCCAAATTGTAGTAATCGGAATAGTATTGAATTTAGGTATACGAGAATCCGTACTGTACCACTCAGAACTGAATTGGCTCTAACCCGAACTGCGGACACCAATGAAATACACGGGGAATTGATAGCAGCAAATGCTTATGTTTATTGATAGAATTAGAGCATGTTTTATAGAAGGTAATAGCTCACATGATTGGTTGAAGGGCCGTCGTCCAATTACGTAACTGTTTGCGCCGACACATCATATGTACTAACTCGGATGTTACGTTCGCCTAGTGTACCATTGGTCGAGCTTCCTGAACGGTGATTGGATGACATGAAACTGTACCTAGTCGTGCATGGCTTGCGGTCATGGAAGTCTGGCTCACCACATCATGACAGCAGTTGTTTTGGACTGCCAAAAGATTCAAGTTTGAAAAGAAGGGATGATCGGGAAACAGAATCAAACGCATACTATTAAAGAAAAACACAACGGGACGAAACCGTTTCGCAAGAACAGTTGAGGACACAGATTTGGGGATCGGAAAAATGGTCATTGAACGCCAAGAATCAGGAAACGACCGGGAAGATAGGGACTCATTGACGACGGATGTTATCATATTGGTTAGGGAGGCTGCTCCGAATTTCAGAAGTGCCGGAGGAAGACCACCAGGGCCTGCAGCTGAAGATGCTTTGCAGGATCGAACAAGCTTAAAGATTAAATCATTGGAAAAGGGCACTGAAATGGATTCATTGCATAAGAATAAGGAAATCTGGCTCTCCTTTGACGGGTGTGTGAAAGCGGCGTTAAGGATATTGACATCCGCAGAGGTACTAGAATGTTTTCTGTTCTGCCCACAGAGAAAGCGAATACCTTGCCATAAAAGCCTGGCGTTCATTGTTCGCAGAATTTGGGCGGCGAAGATTGCATTTAGGTACGTTATCTTGGACTTGATTAAATCAGAATAGTGCTTTACAGGTGATGCATGACGAGAGTTTTAGGCCATTTCTTTGTACCTTCTCAGTGAGTTCAAAAAGGGCAAGGTAATTCTACGATTACAGACAAACAGGATTTTCATTGGACAACACAAGTTAAAGATGGATTTAATCATTTCAGTGAACAGATTGACACATTTAAAAAGCGAAGGACAAGAACCAAACCAAGACTGAACAATCACAACAGAAGCGTTGAGAAGATAGATGCGGTTGGGTGAAAAGTTCCTTAGATCAAATTTTATCTGAGTAGAACGTATGAATGCTTGATAAGCAATGCGAAAGTATACCCGGGGTCTAACAAGAAGAATATGATGGTCGCTGGTAGAAACGGAGGTCATTAGTTTGGGAGAGAATAAGTTGGGATGGTTTGCTATCACTCTGTTCAGCACAGGATTACCTCTGGTAGGAGAATGAGTACAGTCAGACGGACCAAACGGAAGCAGAGAGAAATCCTTGCAGGATTGAAATCACCAACAAGTGAAGAATTTCAACTAATAATGAAACTATAAACGGAATATAGGAACCAAAGAAAGCAGAAATTTTCGTCTGAGAACAGGAGGAAGATATACACACATTGGTGATGATTGTACTTTTGTGATGGGAAAATTTAGGGTGACAACGAACAGATAAACAGCAAATGCATTTTTCAGAATAGTTATGTACAACTTCTGACTTGTCACACCAAGAAACGTTGATGTAAGTAGCCACACTTCCTCAATCTTTTTCCTACTTCGCTGTCTATCCTGCTGGCAGCATTCAAACCCTTCTATTCGCACGAGCATTTCCTCAATGTTTTCATTCAATCAGGCTTCTTGTACACAAGCAACACGTGTGTTAGAATTTATGCGTGTTCAGAACGGAGGTTAAATCCGAGATCTTCGCGAATAGCCAGCAAACGTTAGTGCTGACCAATGATGGCACAGTCATCTTGGCAGGAGGGTTGCAAGTAAGTGCAGTCTGCCATCCAGCCCGTCTGCGTGTTTTTGATCCAAAGACTTTTTGATGCTAACCAAGCAAAATTTAGCGGGTAGCGAAGAATTCACGGTTTTTACTCGTAGCATGTCCTGACGAGAATATTTATAGATCATGAACATGCTTTGCACCGATATATGGACGAGGCAAACGATAAATTCCAACATGACGAACAAGCACGAGGGTGCAGCGCAGCCAATCGAAGGGCGCGTTAGTGATCTCAATTGGAGATCAATCACGTTTATCGTTGGTCAACGTCCGAGGTTTGCGACGTAGAAAATTCAGGAAATTTAGAGAAAGTGATGCTTGGTCGTAGGTTTCTGTAGATAACCTGCTTTGAGCTATCTGATGGTTGCCGGCCGACCCTGCACTAGTATTGCTATTTGAAATGACTCTTACTTCGCCCCCGGCGTTTGCCAGCAAATCTCTACAAAATCGCAGTAGTTTATGACAAAAATTAAAAATGTGATATTGTAGGGACACTATCAACCCTCTCCTCTCCGTGATACCAGTCGTTCTCTCCTTGGTCTGTTCGTTCGTCCGCAGCTCAGCGTACTTATTCGTGAACACCTTTAGTCTAGACACTAAATTGGTGAGCCCGACGTGATTTTTAACAATTTTTACGGAACTTCAACGACAGTTGTGTTGGAATGATCTGTAGAGCAGAGGAAGAGAAGCCTACAGATGAGTAAGCGTGCAGAAAGTCAAAATCAACCCATCGTGACCAACCAGTTGATCTTAGTCCGGTAAAACAACAAGGCCTAAATATGGAAAAAGTACATGTGCGGAGAGAGTTGATAGTGTCACCATAATATGGTACGGACGTGGTGGTTGTCGCGATACGTCGACTGGCTATCATGATGTTTGTAACTTCTGGCCTTATCATCGAATTCATGGTGGTATCAGCAGACGCCGTCCGATTCTAATGTGGGTACTACTGTACCAGGTCGATCTTCGGTCGCGTGAGAATGAGTGGCTTGTTTTGTGGCCAACCACGACAATGTCCCTGAGTTCTGTCATCTGGCTTTGCAAGTCGTCCATAATAACTGACTGTCTAATCCGCCGTATAATCGTAGACAGTTGAGCGATTGTAGCTAGCAACGTTTCAAATTTCCTCGTTTTTGCCGTTCGTATAAGTGACGGGTGGAGGCACTGGTGAAGTCATCTGAAGCTGTTCCCTTTCGAGCACTGTCCGCAAATTTATGTTAGATCTAGCCACGGTGATACCCTGTCCAGCGGGATTGTCAAGCACCGAGGATATAATCTCGACTGTTGATAAAACGCCTTTAGATAGCTTGCGTTATCTACGATAACTAAATGCGAATTGCCTCAATGGTCCTGGATACCGTGAAGAGCAATAAAACCATTGCTCTGAACGGGTAAGAAGATGGACAACGCGTGACCAACAGTTTATAGAGCGAGACCTGCAGCGAAAGGTTTACACGTGCAACGAGATAGCGTGACTCACCGGGACAGGTGACAATTCCGCGGTTGAGCGTAAACAAGTAATTGCACCTGGTAAAACAAAAGCTTATCTCAAGTGGAAAAGGACTCAGGAAAAAGGTGAAAGTGCCATATTACTACACGCCTGTATAGAAATTGCCCACCTAGGCAAGCAGGCAAATGTGAACTGACTCCACCTGAATTATGAGAACCGATTGGACTACTTGGCACTCTAGTCTGTTTATCCGATGAAGGCCAATTTAGATTTTGGCATCAGCCCACCTTTGACGGGCGCGCTTATTGTTTTTGAACGTTTTCCGACTATCAGCGAATGAGTCACAGCAGAACTACTGCACTAATTACATTCTGTGAGTGTACTGCAATTGGCGGCCCACCGAAGGAGTTTTCTGAGTGACGGCCTGCCAACAAGACTTCTTGTGTATCCCTTAACACTCGGGACCTCTTAGGGTTTCCTTGCCCGAGGCAGCTCAAAACACTCGTGGTTGCTGTAGACTTTTATTGGCTTATCGTGGTACTGAAAACCACATAACAAGTACTTGGGTGACGACTAAACAGTGCGAGCAAATAAATGCAGTAGAATAAAGAAAGCGTGCGTGGACTAGGACAGAATCCGGCTTACATAAACTTGAGCAGTAAACCGTGCTCATTAAAACAAAGCGATACCACAGCGAGATTCAAACTAGATTAGGACGAAAACATGAACAGAAAATGTCCTCGTGGCTTTCTTCTTTTCTCCATAAAATTATCGCCACGACAGCAGGGCTAACAATCCCGACCAATAAAAAACATGGCATTAGGCGTCGTATAAGTCGTAGAATACACACTCCATCGTAGTTTTAGACTGAAAAGCTTGCTGTGACAATTTTTCAATACTTGTATCATCACGTTCGTCGTATGAAGACTCTTTCGTCTTTTTTGTTCATTAAAATGTGCGATACCGCCGTGCAGTGCAGGCAGCCATGGATATCACCTGAGCATGGTCATCAGACTGGAGCCTCCCAATAAATGATGGCAAATGTGCATGTTCTTTAGCAAGGGCTGCGCGCACACCTTAAATGTCTGCAACACATCCCGACTTCAGACTGTCAACAAGCATATGATACTTGGCTTCTGGTTAATTATTTCTCCATTTTTTCCTTTCCACCACGAAAAAGCCCGAAATAAAGGCTTTTGGGGTACTCAACTTTATCAAGCGCTCCTTCCCTCGCTTTGATAAAGAAAATTTTCAACTATTTTATGGCACTTTTTAAAGCTGTTTTAGAATACGGAGCCCAAATCGCGTGCTATGAGCTTGTGGGTGCGCGTATTTATGCACTGCGTGTAAATACTCCACCCCTCTCCTTTCATCCGCCGTTTTAGTTCCTTCCTTTTGAATTACGTTAAGTCCCATCTCAATCACCCTCACTAGCGAGTTGTACTCTCAGAATCTCCTCAGCGGGCATTACCCATCAATTGAAAACGGACAATCGAAGATCCGGGACCATTGGGCTTAGCCTCGTGAAATTCTAGAAGACTTCAAAACTTCAACTGAACTGAACTAACCAAACATGACTCCATATAAGGCCATTGTTCGACCGCATTTAG